GTCGGCTCCATCCGTCCTTCTGCTGCTCGCCGTGTCGCTCGTCGCAGGAGCTGGGGCCGCCGTCGAGGCTGCCCTCCACGCCCGCGCGTTCGTGGGATCGGGGATGGACAGACCTCCCTTTAGTAAAACGTGGTCTAGTGAAAACGACCTCGGGCCCAAACCTGGCGGGCGCAAGCCTGGAAAATAACGGCCGCGGCGCCCTCTCGAGAACCGAAAACGGACAATTCCCTAATCGACGTGTCACTGTTAGGAGGTCTGTCCACCCCCGATGGGAGAGCCAGGCCCCTGGCAGGACAGCGTGAGCGCTGGCCGACAGGCCTACGCGCCGCGAGGCTCGTGGCCGCGCGGCCAAGCCTGCCCCCCCGAGGGGGGACCCGCAGCAGGCAGCCCCGCGGGGCCGCTCCCCGCGGCTGCCCCGCCAGATGTGCCCGCTGGGGCGGCCGCGGGACACGTCGGAGGGCACCAACTGTACACCCACACCGACCTTGGCCAGGCCGATCCTGCGCCCAGGATCGGCGTATATGCCTCCCTGCCCCCGGGCAGGAGGGCGTATACACCGATCCTGGGCCCAGGGTGGTCCTGGGCCAGGATCGGTGTTGGCGTATAGTTGGTACCCTCCGAACACGGGCTACAGCATCGGAGGAGGTCCCACCCAAGGCTGCGAGGAGCTCAGTGGGCCCTGGAAGCGGCAGGGCCATTTCTGTTGCCGGTTCCGTTCTGCCGCTGGCTTTCCTTGTTCCGACGCGTCGCTGTTGTGCCGGTTCCGTCGCCCGTTTTTTTCCCGGCTCCTGCTCCGGTTCCAATGTCAACGTTTTCTGATTCGGCGTTTCGACATTGGACGGAAGGAGGGCGTGTCTGGCTATGGACCTCTGCTTAACCGTTTTCTTATTCGGCGTTTCGACATTGGGCGGAAGGGGGGGGGTGTCTGGCTCTGGACCTCTGCTCAACGCGACTGTTTGCAACCGTGCGTCCTATGGGGGAGACGCAACCTGCCTGAGAGAGGTGCCGAAAACAGCCAAGATCTACTCCATGGGGGAGGGGGGGCGAGGGCCCGCGCCGATCGGCAAAACAACGAATACGAAAACGATCAACAAGGTGTTCGCGGAGCCCGAATCGACTACCACCACGATGGTCAAGAGGTGGACGAAGTGACCCGCGGGTTGATGCGGCTGGCGAGGAAGCAGCTGCTCGGCGAGGCGGCATCACGCGTTGCTGCCGCTGGTCCTGCTTGAGGGGGATCGGCCAGACGGGCCGACGCCGCCGCCTTCGTGCTGCTAGGGGCTGGGGCCAGAGGTGGAGCTGCTGAGGTTCCGCCTGCTCAAGCCGCTGCCGTTGGCAGGATGAGCTGCACGTGCGGGGCAATTGTCTTCCCAGCCGTCGGGGCGCGCTTGATGCGGGACGTCGCCACCAACCCCATCTTCGTCTCGGGGCTCGGCACTGTGGAGTCCGACTCCATCTGCCCTCCTCCTGATCCGGTGGATGCTGCTGAGTCTGCATGAGGACGCGACGATGCGGGTGATGGTTCAGGCACCGCCTTTCCAGGGCCCCTGCGGGGGGTGTCTGCCTGCGGCGCTGTGCAACTGCCGCCTGCGGCCAGTGGGTGCCCGTGGGCTTACCGCTGGGCCCTGGCGAGGGGCTTATCTTCGCCAACGGTGCTGCCTCTTCACCGGCTCAGCGTTTCGCCTCGTCCTCGACTACGGCTTGAATGCGGCTGACGTCGTCTGGCTGCTGGTTTCCACTCGTCTCGTTTCGTGGTCTACACTCGTTTCGTGGTTTACAATTCCGAGGACAATGACAATCCGCCGAACGAGTACGACCTCAGCGATTTCAGCTTCTAAGGTCGTGATGTTCCTCAGGTTCACGGCTTTTGTTGGCGTAGCGTGGCGTCGCCATCGTGGACTCCAATTTCGCGGCGGGTCCTAATTCGCATCTACCATGGTCGGCACGCTAAGCTGTCCCAGGATGCTTGTCATGGTCACGGTGTACGTCGGCATCAAGTGCTACGACAGCGTCGTGTGTTTCCGAGGCGGTGTGCTCCCTCGGAGTGCGTCCTTTGGCAATCAATTCCGAACCCAAATGTCGTTTCTCCCCCTCCTCCTCCTCATCCTCCTCCTCTTCCACATCATCATCAGCATCAGCAGCAGCAACGTCATCATCATCATCAGCAGCAGCATCAACCGCATCAGCATTATCAGCATGAGCATCATAATCATCAGCATCGTCATCACCATCAGCATCATCATCATCATCATCATCATCATCATCATCATCATCATCATCATCATCATCATCATCATCGTCATCATCATCATCATCATCATCATCATCATCATCGTCATCATCATCATCATCATCATCATCATCATCATCATCATCATCATCATCATCATCATCATCATCATCATCATCATCATCATCATCATCATCATCATCATCATCTTCGTCGTCTTCATCAGCACCATCAGCATCAGCACCATCATCATCATCAGCAGCATCAGCAGCATCATCATCAGCATCAGCATCATCATCAACAGCACCGTCACCATCATCACCACTATCATCATCAGCAGCAGCATCATCAGCATCATAGTAATCATCATCATCAGCATCATCATCATCATCATCATCATCAGCATCATCATCACCATCAACATCACCATAAGCATCATCATCATGATCATCAGCATCATCATCATCATCATCAACAACAACCTCAGTATCATCAGCACCGTCATCATCATCAACAGCATCATCCTCATCATATCATCATCAGCATCACCATCATCAGCAGCATCATCATCCCTCCTCCTTCTCCTCCTCCTCCTCCTCCTCCTTCTTTTCCTCCATCTCTCGGCCGCCTCCTCAAACCTCATTCCTGCTCTCTCTCTCTCTCTCTCTCTGTCTTCTTCTTCTTCCTGTTCCTCCCTCTCCAAATCATTGTCCTGGTCCGCCTCATCCTCCTCCACCTGTACGGTCCTCCTCTACCTTGGAAGAGGTATCCGTGGACATCCGAAGGCATCTGGGGAGATCTGGGAACCATAGGTGGCCTCTAAGGAAGCCGTACTCCAAACAGCTGCCTTTCATATTTTCATGCTCGGCTCATCGTCGTCATCTTCTTCCTGCGCCTCGTCCTCCCCTCTCGATCCCCATTCGGGACGCAGTGAGCAGAGTTGCGGCCACTCTGTCATCCAGGTCTCCTCCGCCTCTTCCTCCTTCTCTCGGGGGCGGGCAAACACGGATTAGCGATCCATGGATTTGGCGCGCGGTCGCCAATCCATGGATCGGGACGAGGTGCTCTCCCCAAAATGCGGCCGGTGCCGCCCCGTCCGGCGGCGGAAATCCGCGATTCCCCTGGGGAACGGGACCCGTCGCTAACACACGCCCCCTTAATCAACGTTTGCGATCGCCTGATTCTCTCCTCCTCCTGCACCTCCTCCTCCTCCTCCTCCTCCTTCTCCTCCTCCTCCTTCGCCTCCTCCTCCGCCTCAGCCTCCGTTTCCGCCTCCTCATGCTCCTCCTCCTCCTCCCCCTCCTCCTCCAGATCCTCCTCCTCCTCCTCCTCCTCCTCCTCTTCCTCCTCCTCCGCACCCGCCTCGGCCCCGCCTCCTCCTTCTCCTCCTCCTGCTCCTCCTGCTCCTGCTCCTGTCCTCCTCCTCCTCCTCCTCCTCTCCTCCTACCTCCTCCTCCTCCTCCTCTCCTCCTCCTCTCCTCCTCCTCCTCCTCCTCCTCCGCCTCCTCCTCTCTCCTCTCCTCCTCCTCCTCCTCCTCCTCCTCCTCCTCCTCCTCTCCTCCTCCTCCTCCTCCTCCTCTTTTCATTATAACCAACTCCTCCCTGTCGCGCGCCGAGACGCGTCAGTAGGACGGGCCGAGAGTTTCGCCTGAGACTTCACCGTTGATGTTACGTAAGCTGAAACGTTGCCACAGTTTCACGGATGAAGGGCGGGTCTTTTTCAAAATGTGGTTCACGCTTCAGCGCCACGCTCATCAGTCTTAAAAGCTTGCAAGAGCTTCATGAATGGAGGGCGGGCCGTTTTCACAATGTGGCTCTCGCCTCAGCGCCGCGCACATTCGTTTCAAGAATGCACAATCGTTTGAAGGAAAATCATGGCTGACGTCCCAGAAGTTATGTTCGGCACGATGTAGGACTGTCAGGGCGCAACAGTCAAGTTGATTCGCGGCGTTGCAGTCCCAGGAATTGGCGTTCTGGCACGATTGAGGATCTTCAAGGCGCACACCAATAATGTTGATTCGTGTCGCTGAGGACCCAGGAATGGTGTCCTGGGATGTCTCCGGTTTTTCAAGCGGGTGTCGTCCGACAAGGCACTTCCCTAGGTTAACATAAACGGTTGTAGGGGACGATGACGAGGGAACTTTGAGGGAGAGTGTATTGCAACATCAGTGGTCAGTCTTGGGTTTACGCCGGTCCTCCTCCTCCTCATCCTCCTCCTCCGCCTCCACCTCCGCCTCCGCCTCCGCCTCCGCCTCCTCCTCCTCCTCCTCCTTATCCTCATCCTCATCCCCATCCTCCTCCATTCCTTTTTCTTATCAACAACTCCTCCCTGCCTCACTCCGAGGCCAATCGGAAGAGCGGGCTGGGCGTTTCTCCTGAGACTCCCTCACCGTTCATGATCTTGAAGCTGGAAAAGTGGCAGCAGTTTCACACCTGAAGGGCTGGTGGTTTTCAGAGGCTCTCGCTTCAGTGCCGCACACATTCGTCTTACACATGTGCGCGAGCTTCACGGATTGAGGGCGGGTGATGCTCAACATGTGGCTCCCGCTTCAGCGCCACGCACGCTCGTTAAACAAATGCAAGATTTCACGGATCTGTATGATCCTGAAGCCGAAAAATTGGCCACAAGTTCACACATGGAGAGCGGGTGGTTTTCAGCATGTGGCTCTCGCTTCAGCGCCGCGCACATTCGCTTTCCAAAATTGAAAGGACTTCACGGATTGAGGCCGCTTTGTTTTCAAAATGTGGTTCTCGCTTCAGGGACGCGCACATGGGTCGAACAAATGCAAGGTTTTCACGGGCTGAAGGCGGTTCCTTTCCAAACTGTGGCTCTCGCCTCAGCGCAGCGCACATTCGTCTTGTACATTCGCAAGCGCTTTACGGATTGAGGGCGGGTGGTTTTCACGTTTTCAAAATGTGGCTCTCGCCTTAGCGCTGCGCACATCCGTTTGAAACTGCAAGAGCTTCGCAGATTGAGGGAGCGGCTCCTTTTCAAGATGTGGCTCTCGCCTTAGCGTCACGCACATTCGTCCTAAGAGTGTAAAAAAAGTCACGGGGTTCCATGGTTTGAAAAATATCAGAAATGGTGTTGTGGAAAGGTTCAGGATGTCAGGGCGCAGAAGTCACGTAGATCTGCGGCGTTGAAGTCCCGAGAACGGCGCTCCGGCACGAATCCGGATCGCCAAAAGGCAGCAGTCGGGTTGACTCGAGGCGTTGGAGGCCCGAGAGTGGTGATTCGGCACGGTTCCAGGTCCTCAAGCGGCTGTCTCCCAACGGGGCACTTCCCCCAGTGGTAATGACTCCGTGCAGGGGCCTATGAAGAGGGAGCCTTCATGGAGGGATGATTCCAGAATCTTAGATGAGTCGTGGGTGTTCACTGCTTCTCCTCCTCCTCCTCCTCCTCCTCCACCTACTCCTCCTCTCCCTCTCGTCCTCCTCCTCCTCCTCCTCCTCCTCCTCCACCTCCTCCTCCTTCTCCTTGTCTTGCCCTAAGACAAAACAATTCAGAGCCACTCCTTCCTCGGATGCGGAGCTTCAGAGGTTTCGAGAGCCCCCTTCCCAGCCCCCCCCCTCTGCACCTCGGGTTCCAGTTGGTCCCTGAGTTCGAGGGGATCCGCCCCCTGGCACAGGTCTCGAATTCGGGGGGGGTTCTGGTGTGCTCGGGCGGATCTCAGCCCCCAGGAAGCTTTCAGCGAAGGGGGAGTCTACATAGATGGTACAGTGAGGTTAAAAAATAAAGAACCTCAAAAATAAGGAATTTACAATTCTAGGTTGTCCCGTAGAGATTGCAGCCACTTCAGCGGTTTCGCCCATTTCAGCGGCCGAGTCGGCCAGATGTTTTACCAAACCTCTGGGGCCGCGGAACATTTAGCTGCCGTCGCTGCTAGCCTAATGTCTGCTGACATTGAAGTTGGATGCTCAAACAGTAGAGGAGTAATCTTGCTGCATGGCGATGAGGACTACCCCCGACGCGGGCGCTTCCCGTTGGGGCAGAGGCTCCTGAAGGAAAAGGCCCACCCACCCGGACACCGAAGCCCTACCCGTAGGTAGCGAGGCTCGAAGGTTGGCGGAAGGCAACGATGCCGCCGATCCTCTGACCAAGGCGGCTGCGCACCGTGGAGCCCAGCCAAGCGAAGAGAGACGCAGCTCTTCAGGCGGCCAGGAGCCCTCGAAGAAACATCTCACGTCGTATGTGGCCCGGGCTCTGGGAGAGTGGCCCGCGATGGCCCCCAGAAGCGTAGCAAGGCCCTGGCCGCCCAGAGAAGAGCCTCTCTCCTCCCACGGGCGCTGCCTCTGCCCTGACCTCATGGGGCCCCTCGGCCTCGTCTTCGTCGTCGGTCGAGTCTCCTCCCCCTCCGCCCCCGGAGCCCTTAACTGCCCAGAGAGAGCCTCGGGGGGTTCACAACTGGGCGATGATGGTTGGAAAGTGGCGCTGTGTTGTCGGGTACAGACCCGATCGGTCAAGCAGAGAGCTGCGCTCGAGGCCACACACTGCCCTGGCCACTGTAAGCAGCTGCCAGACCTTGTGCACAATAAGAAAGGCCATGGATTATTCTATTATGAGCACCTTGATCACCCCACGAGTACCTTGCTTTGCCATAAATGTGGATCCTACTCTGAGGAGTTGGGTCGAGGGCTCACTGGAGTCTGCAGCACTCGAGTGACTCACCAAGGCGCGGCCACTCAGCTTGTCCGCGTCCAAGAGGGGCGGGATCCGAAGGGCTCGAAGAGCTCTCCGATCGTTTTCTCGACGCCAGCGATCCCCCTTGCTAGATTGGTCCGCGAAGAGCAAGCCAACGCCAGGGGACAGGTTGGAGCCCAAGAATCGAGTTAGGCCCACACCAGGGGCGAGGCCTGCCACCGCCCTGGCGTTCTTTACACCAGGGGTCGGCGGTGCCTCGTCGTCCTGGCGTCGCCTCGTGATTGTCTTGTGCACGTGCGTTTGTGTGTGCGCGCGCTGGCTGCACGTGTGCCAGGCACCCCGATTCAGGGGGAAAGTGCACTCGCGCGCATCAGGGCCCTTCATCGCCCTCTGTTTCAGCGTCGGCAGCGATCTGCCGTCTCTGCAGCAAGTTGGTTTCATCCTCGGCCGCAGTGGAGAACATAGGTGGCTCTGCGCCACGAGGTGTTGGGTTAGGGTCGGGTCGGCCAACCCCTAGCCTCCCTCATTAGCCAAGTGAAGGTCCTCCTCCTGCTCCTCCTCCCCCTCCTCCTCTTCCTCCTCCTCCTCCTCCTCCTCCTCCTCCTTCCTGCTCATCCTCCTCCTTCTCCTTCTCCTCTTCCTCCTCTTCCTCCCCTCCTCCTCCTGCTCCTCCTCCCACTCATACTCCGTCCTCCTTCCAATAATCCTCCGTCATCCCCCCCCTTTTCCCCCTTTTCCTCCTCCGTTCCCCCCCGTCCTCCGTCCTCCGCCATGTTCTGCCCCCCAGTGGATACTCCTTCACACCCGCGAAGAGCGCGCTCAGGGACTCCACGAGAGCTTCTGGAGACTATGTTAAGCAGGGGGGGGACGAAAATATTGTAAAAAATGGATGCGTCAAAAGGTTCTCAACTGACTTTGAGGAACTGATGTCGGCCCAGTCCCCTGCGACGGGGTCCACATCTTCAGTCAAGGTGTGGATCACTCTCGGTTGTGCAAACAGCGTCAAATCCGAGGCACAATAGTTCAGCACTTGCAGAAGCTCCAACAGCACGCTTGCCTGCATGGGGCATGGGCTTGATTCGAGGTGAGGGCCGACCAAAAAGCGGCATAGATATGAGCTGTCGTAGCGTCGCGCGGATTTCTGGGATCGGCGCTGTGCCCCAGGGAGGGAGGTCTGGGGCCATCCTAGAAATCCGCGCGGACCTCCGAACGATAGCTGAAACTGAAACTGAAACTGAAATGGGGCGGAAAACTGCCCGAGTACTGATATGCGAAAACGAACGATAGCTGAATCAGAATGTGGTGCCGTTCTACTTCCCCCAGGTTCGAGGGGGACTGGCTCCTGGACATGTTCGCCCAGGCTCGGAGGAGGAACAGGCCCCGTGGTGTCCGAAGCGCGCCGAAGGCGTCGAGGAGAAGGCGCGGCGGTTGGACATGTCACGAGCGGCGTATCGATGGAGCCACCTCTCACCGCACCAACCTTGCAGGCGTGCTGCAGCAGATTTTCGCGTGGATTTCCGTCAATGCAGAAACCCCAAAACGGCGGGCGAAAAACGAGGCGAAATTTCACGCGGGTTGTGGTTAGGCCTTCCTTCCTGGCCGAACAAACCCGCACGAAATTCACCTCGAAATCCGGAAAGACGGTCTCCAGGACAGCCCGGCCCCATGCTAATGTTTTCCGAGCGAAATCCGCTCTGCGATGTTGGCGCGATGACACCTCCTAACCTTCACGGGCTGGCCGCTCCGGCAGTCCTGTGCCAGAAACGGTATACACACCGTGCGGCCGCCGCCTCGGGCGGGGAGCGCACCACGATCGCCAAAGACCACGGGGCTGGGTGCTCCTCCTCCTCCTTCTCCTCCTGCTCCTCCTCATCCTCCTCCTCATCCTCATCCTCATCCTCATCCTCATCCTCCTCCTCATCCTCATCCTCATCCTCATCCTCATCCTCATCCTCCTCCTCCTCCTCCTCCTCCTCCTCCCTCATCCTCATCCTCAGCATCCTCATCCTCATCTCATCCTCCTCATCCTCCTCCTCCTCCTCCTCCTCCTCCTCCTCCTCCTCCTCTCCTCCTCATCATCTCATCATCATCATCATCATCTCAACATCATCATCATCATCATCATCTCATCATCATCATCATCATCATCATCATCATCATCATCATCATCATCATCATTCATCAGCATCATCATCATCAGCATCATCATCATCATCATCATCATCATCATCATCATCATCATCATCATCATCATCATCATCGTCATCGTCATCCGTCATCGTCATCGTCATCGTCATCGTCATCATCATCATCATCATCATCATCATCGTCATCATCATCGTCATCGTCATCGTCATCGTCATCGTCATCATCATCATCAGCAGAATCAGCATCATCATCATCATCATCATCATCATCATCATCCACATCCTCATCATCATCATCATCATCATCATCCACATCCTCATCATCATCAGCAGCATCATCATCATCATCATCATCATTATCATCAGCATCATCATCATCCGCATCATCCGCATTATTATCATCATCATCATCAGCAGCATCATCATCATCATCATCATCATCATCATCATCAGCATCATCATCCTCATCCTCATCATCATCCTCATCATCATCACCACAGTGTAAGGTTCGGGTCCTTCTGGAGTTGCCCGCGCGCCCCAGTAGGGAGTAGGGCCGACTGCTCTCAGACTTGGATTCCATGTGTAAACTCGAGTGAACCCCGCCGACCCACATTCGAAAGGATCATATGGGGATTTGACCGCTTCCTGACAGGAAAGAAGGATGACAGGAATAAGGAAAAAAACTGAGAATGATAAGGAAAGTGTGCGGAGGAGCAGGGAGAGAAGAAGAGCGAGGAGAAGAGGGGGGGAAGTGAAGGAGGATGAGGCGGAACAGATGCATGAGAAGGGTAAAAAACAAGAGCATTGGATAATTGAAAACGGATGATACATGCGTCAGACATGGCACCGATGACTAGAAAGAGCACATAATAGCTACAACACGAATGTATGCGACAACGGTTACTCGAATCTCCATCCACCAAGAAGACGATGCCGAACTGCGCCGCAACACTGTCGGACAAGACATTGCAGACCCTCACCGCATCACTGATGCCGAAAGAATGCCCTCCCGACAAGACATCATGGAAGCGGCAACACACACAAGGCATGCGAAGCAATACACCAATGGCATGCACAAAAAAACATGCTCCTGATGGTGCTGTGGGATACATCCGCCATAGCGCCCCCGGCACGTTGAAGCGTGGTAGAGTGCCAACTGCTGTCCAATAGGGTTCCTGTAAGTCCTCTAATTGGCGGCGCGCCCAGGTAGGAAGTGAGAACGGGCGGGCCTTCTCGGAAGGCTCGAAGCCCCCCGGCCTTCTGAGAAAGTTGTTCTAAGCCTTCCCAGAAGACACGGAACACTTATCAGAAGGCGCGAGGGCTTCTGGGAAGTCCCGCCGCCTTCTGAGAAGGCCTTCTCCTTCTCACTTCCCCCCGGGTGCGCCGCCGAATCTGGTTTTTAGGTCAAAACTCGGGCCTCCGAGGGCCGTTCGGGACGATCCAGGCGCCCCCGGAACGCCCTCGGCGAGGCGCAGCCGCCAGCAAGCATCCCGAGGCTGGAAAACGGCGGAGAAACTACGGCAACGCCCGACAACCTAGAAGCTCGAAGTTCGAACCTCGAAGTTCCCCCCCTCGAAGAGGCTCGCCGACGACCTAGGGCATGCCCCTCCTCCCGACACGGCTCCCTGCGTGCACCGGCCCCCATCTCTCGAGGCTCCCTCGGCGGCCCGCCGCCTCCCTCTGGGGCTCTCTCCTCGGCCCTCCTCGGCGCCCCACGGCGGCCCAGGAAAGGCACCCGAGGTCGCCGGGATGGCTGGCGACCTCGGACATACCAGGACATACCAGCACTGCACATGTTCTCCCTGGAGGCGCGCGTCCGACCCGAACATATGCTATACCCATCTGGTTGCATCGCGTTTCCCAGGCGGTACGGCCAGAAAGAGCCCGCCACGACGAATGTACTATAAGATTTCTCGGTGCGCGCGTCGCCCCTGGGGGGGCGACGCACACATAGTATTAATATGTTGGGGTGCCGCCGATAAGAGGCGCCCAGCAGCCACTGAGACAAGAGAGCCCAAAGCCAGCTCAAGAGGGCCTCTGGTGGACTCCCAGAGGGTCCAAGAATGCCCCCAGGGCCGCCCCAGGAGACCCCCTGGACGGCCACGAGAGCCCCAAGACGCCTCGATGGATCCCCAAGACGGCCCAGGAGGACCCCCAGACGGCCCGAGAAGGCCCCAGGGGACCTCCAAAACTGCCCCACGGTAGCCCTCTATGAGAGCTCCTCAAGAAACAGAGACGATAGGTGCAACATTAAGTCGGGCGTATCCATCTACAGAAGGAACATTCTACTATGTTTGGACCATGTTTGAATATGTTGTTGATATTGTTGTTCCTTCCTTCGGAATCTGCCTGTAGGGGGACATGCCCGACCTGAGTGTAACGGACGATGGCCTGCTGGGCGGTGCTCGAAGGGCCGCCACACAGAGAGTGCCTTTGCTGACACGGCGGCAGAAATTGCCGCCAGGCACCTGGGATGAGCAGAGACGTAGTCTGTGCACCGCTGGCCTCCAAGGCCCGCAGGGTCTGCTGCCACCCGCCTGAGGGCTCCGCAGCAACAGAAGCAGGAAGATGCGCGATGATGTCAGACAGGCTCACCAGCCCGGCATCGTGCGGATTGGCTTCTGGCACGAAGCCGTAGTACAGGGCGAAGTGCGAGTTGGAGTGCTCACCGTACGTCACCGTGACAGGCTCTCCCGCTTTGATGTCCGCCGACACCTCGTTGGGTGGTTCGAATCCGCGTTGCGCCCGACGGAAGCGCATGAGTGAACTGACAGCTGCCCACGCGGAGCCCATGGCTAACGATCGCCGCCGACGGATGTCCCAGGCGTTTCTGTCTCTGGGCAAACCTGGAACTGCTCGTTCTGGGCGACCCGGGAGATTCTCTGGGTCAACGGGGAACCCAGAAGGCCCAACCAAGGAATTCCCCAGACGGCAAGTCGGGAGACTCCAGAGAGGCGTGCACCCAAAAAGCCAAGCAACAACATTCCCGAACGCTCATAAATCAATATCATCAGCATCACCCTCATCATCATCATCATCATCATCATCATCATCATCATCATCATCATCATCATCATCATCATCATCATCATCATCATCATCATCATCATCATCATCATCATCATCATCATCATCATCATCATCATCATCATCATCATCATCATCATCATCATCATCATCATCAGCATCATCATCATCATCATCATCATCATCATCATCATCATCATCATCATCATCATCATCATCATCATCATCATCATCATCATCATCATCATCATCATCATCAGCATCATCATCATCATCATCATCATCATCCTCATCATCCTCATCATCCTCATCATCCTCATCATCCTCATCCTCATCCTCATCATCATCACCACCACCATCACCATCACCATCACCATCACCATCATCAACCATCAACCATCATCCTCATCAGCATCAGCATCAACATCATCATCGTCATTATCGTCAGTATCATCATCATCATCATCATCATCATCATCATCAGCATCATCATCATCGTAATCATCATCATCATCATCGTCATCATCAGCATCACCATCATCATCATCGTCATCATCATCATCATCATCATCATCATCATCATCATCATTATCATTACCAGTATAATCAGCATCACCATCAGCATCATCATCATCAGCATCGTCACTCTAATCAGCATCATCATCACCATCGCCATCATCATCATCAGCAGCATTACCAGCATCAACCTTATCGTCATCATCCTCATCATCAGCATCAGCATCAGCATCAGCATCATCATCACCATTATCAAATAAGCATCAGCATCAGCATCATCATCAGCGGCATCAGCATCATCATCATCATCAGCATCATCATCAGCATCATGATCATCATCGTGGTCACAATTATCAGAATCGACAGAAGCATCACCGCCTCATCGTCAGCATCGCCATCAATAACAACGTCATACTCATTGTCCTAATCCTGATCGGCAACATCACAGTCGCCAAAAGAAGCATCAGCATCAGCATCATCCTCATCACCGCCATCATCATTGGGATTAGCAGTATCATCGCCCGTATCATCACAAACACCAACACCACCACCATCATCATCACCAGCAGCATCAGTCATATAGAAATCAGCATCTGCAGTTTCCTCAGCAGTATCATCCTCCTCATCATCCTCATCATCGTCACCATCATTAGTAGGATCATCATCAGCATCAGGATCACGATAGTCATCGCACGCACGCATCAACAACAACATCACCACCACCACCATGATCATCATCATGATCATCATCATCATCATCATCATCATCATCATCATCATCATCATCATCATCATCATCATCAGTTTGCCCTTCCCTCCTCTCCCCTCCTCCTCCTCTTCCTCCTCCTCGTGCTCCTCCTCCTCATCCTTTTCCTCCTCCTCCTCCTCCTCCTCTTCCTCTTCCTCTTCCTCCTCCTCTTCCTCCTCCTCCTCTCCCTCCTCCTTCTCCTCCCTCCGCCTCCTCGTCCCCGCCCTCTTCTCCTCCTGCTGCTTCTCCTTCGCCGACTCCGCCTTCTGTTCCTCCTTCGCCACGGATGCCGCCAAGCGGTCGGCACACGATTCCTCCAAGAGCACCCACGAGCGCCACAATATCTCCCCAAGAGGGACCCAGGAGGCGATGTTTCGGCATCGGGGCCTTATCCGCGCTGCCCTCCTTGATGGGTGGCCCCCAAGATGGCCCTAGGAGGTGCCTCAGGGCCCCCAAGAGAGCCCAAAGGGAGCCCGAGAGGGCCCCGATAGGCCCCCAGAGAGAAGCACTAAAGGCCTGCAAAATGAAACCAAGAATGGCCCCTAATGTACCCCCAAGATGCCTCCCAGGGGCTCCCAGAGCGCCACCGCATGCTGCTATACATCTCTGATCAGGGCAAATCGCCGGGCGATGTTTTTTAATGCGCTGCTGGGGATTCTTGCAAACGCAAGCGCAAGCGGTACAGCCGCGCGCCGTCCGAAGCTACAACTAACAAGCTATAGCCTAAATTGCACCGGAGAGGGAGGAAGAGGTAACAACAAAGAAACAACGGAGGACAGCGAGAGGCGAGAAAAGCCACGGCGGGCCGCGCGGCGCTCACGGGGGGGGGGGGGCCATCGGCAGCAGCAGCAGCTGGGGGTGCACGCCAAAATGGCGATAATTGGCTGGCGGTGCGGTGTCCCGTGACCGCGGCGAGGGGCAACCCCGCGAGGGGTAGCGGCCCGCATGCACCCGCGCCAGTCCGGGGGGCACTGCGCGGTGGGCAGAGCAGGGCAAGGGCTATGCACCCCAGCAAGGGGTCAAGCCGCTGCTGGGGATACTTTTCCGCCGCGACCACAGGCGAAGGCGCCCGCAGCGGGTCGGCTCGGGCTGCGAGCGAACCTAATTGCCAGCGCGCGCGGAGAAGAAAGCAGGACCTACCGCCGGGGGAAGCAGCTGCGCCGGGGCCGAGCTGCAACCGCCGAGGCTGGGAACCAGCGCCGAGGGTGGGGACTGCAAGCTGCCGGGGCTGCCAGGAAGCTGAAAACGTGCGGGCACCATGGGAACTGAATCACTAGGTACGTGAATTGGACCTTGTCGCCACAGGGCGCCAGAGGTCGGTGCGCCACAGACGTGACGAAGCGCGGAACCACGTGATAGCCCAGCGAGCGACAGCGGACCGACGGGGGACGCGCAAGTCCATTCAAGAAGGCCGAACCACTCCTGAGTGAACCGGCGGCCTTAACCCCAGAGGGCCAGCAGCACTGACAGACGCGGCCAGCTGCGGCAATGACTGAGGCCCAGATGCCAGGGAAGTGCAACCACTCACGCTGGAACTGGACAGGACGCAAGTCCCAAGAGCGCCAGGGGACCGCAGCCGACTCCACGGAGCCGAGCGGGGGCCAAGCGCGAAGGATAGCGCGGGGCCGCGAACACTGGAAGCGGCGGCAACTGGAGCCCAGGCGGTCGAGACAAGAGGCGTGAGCCGAAGACGCCACGCAGAGGGGCCAGCGCCAGGGAGACCGAGCCAGGCCGCGGCCAGGTCCGGGCCAAAGGCCAGGGCGAGAATAATTACAGCAACGGCCAGGGCCGCAAGGCACGTCGCGCCCCGCCCCAGCGGGGCCAGCGCACCCGGCACAAGAGGCGTGAGCCGATCACGTCACGCAGAAGGGCCAACGCCAGGGAAGCCGAGCCAGGCCGCGGCCAGGCCCGGGCAATGGCCAGGGCGAAAACAACTACAGCCAACGGCCGGGGCCACGAGGCACGTCGCCCCAGCCCCAGCGGGGGCCCGCGTGCCCGACGACACTGGGCCAGCAGCGGGGGGGGCTGCAACTCGCTGCGGCCAGGCGCGGTGAAGGCCAGGGCGAGCACCGCTACAGCAGACGGGCAGGCCGCGCATCGGCGCTCGCGCCTCGCCCCAGCCAGGGCATCGTGCCAAGTATTGACTGCGCCAGGGGCCTGAGACACAAGGGCGGGGGGCTGGCCTAGCGCCGCGCGGCGACCGGGCCCGGTCGCGAGGGGCTGGAGAGGCGGGGGCACACTTGGGCGACTGCGGCAAACGGCCGCGCGACCCCAACATGAGAACCTCACTCTTCCAGCGGGCGACGGAGGCCTCCAGCCGCGGGCGCGTCTGCGCTGGAAGCACTGCCAGGGACGCGACTAACGGCCACACTGTCTGCGAAAAGCGAAGAAGGGGACAGGGGGGGAAGGGGGGAAGCAGGGCGCGAAACCAAGGACAGAACGGAACTGAAGTGACTAACAGTCACCCCCACTGGAACGCCGGCATGAAGCGCGCGACGCCAGAGCGGGAAGATCACGCCCACCTGGATCTCTCCTGAGGGGCCAGGGCGAGGAGTGGCAGCCAGAAGGGTGCGGCGGTGGGCGGTTGCCTGTTCCAGTTCAGGCCCGTGCTCCACTTCCTGCGCTTGCGCCACTTCCGCGACCCCCCCGCGAGCGGCGGGCAACTCCTGTTCATCGGGCTCCACCGGCGTTTGCTCCGCATGCTGCTCTGGTTCTCTACTCGGTCGCGCTTGCCCCTGGCCGGGTTGCCCGCGCAGCCCCGCGCACTGGTCGCGGGCCCCCGCCTGCCGAACTTCAGGACGGGGAAAGGCCGACGCGCTGTGGCTGGCCGAAGCCCCGTCGATCACCCCCACCACCCTTCCCACCTGAGGCCAGCTAGGGTTGCCAGGGTGGCGACTAACGGTCGCCCTTCCAGACTATATCGGACGATCGATCGAAGCCCCAGCCGCGGGGCGCCCGCCCGCCGGTCTCCGGGAGGAGGGGGGGGCGACGAGCTGCGGCAGACGACCACGCAGTCACTCTCGAGCACCCCCTGAAGACCGCTGCAGCAAACGGCCGCACCTTCCGACACACACACACACACACACACACACACACACACACACACGAGACTCCAATATGCGCTGAAAGTCCCCAAGCGCGGGCGCGCCCTCTGCGGCGCACCCACCCGTCACCAGGGCACTGCCTCAAGGAGGGGGCGAGCTGTCGAGCGCCTTTCTGGCCTCCACCGCGCTGCAGCCCCAGAGGCGCCGACGGGAGCGAGGAGCCGCAGGGGCGCCCGCCCGCCTGCCTCCAGGAGGGGGAGGGGGCGACAGGCTGAGCCGGACGACCGCGCGTTCACTCTCGAGCTGTCCCTGAAGACCGTTGCAGCTAACGGCCGCACTTTCTGGAACACACTCCTGAGTCCCTGTTTTGCGAGGGAGGCCTCCGAACGCGGGCGCGCCCAACTGTCGCCAGGGCGGTGTCTGCAGGAGGGGGCGCGCTGTCGAGCGCCTTTCCGGCCTCCACCGCACTGCTGCCCCGGGGGCGCCGATGGGAGCGACGAGCCGCGCGGGCGCTCGCCCGCCGGTCACCAGGAGGGGGAGGGGGCGACAATCTGCGGCTGACAACCACCTGTTCACTCTCGAGCACTCCCTGGAGACTGTCGCAGCTAACGACCGCACTATCCGATACACACTCCCGAGGTTCGATTTTGTGAGGAACGTCTCCAAGCGCAACCGCGCCCTCTGCAGAGCTCCCAACTGTCGCCAGGGTACTGTTTCCAGGAGGGGGGCGTGCTGTCGAGCGCCTTTCCGGCCTCCACCGCACTGCTGCCCCAGGGACGCCGATAGGAGCGAGGGACCGAATGGGCGTCCACCTGCCGGCCTCTGGGAAGGGGGGGGGGGGCGACAAGCTGCGGCAGACGACCACGCGTTCACTCCCAAGCTCTCCCTGAAGACCAATTCAGCTAACGGCCGCACGGCAGACGACCATTTGTTCACTCTCGAGCTCTCCCTGAAGGCTGTTGCAGCTAACGGCCGCACTTTCCGGAACACACTCCTGAGTCTCTATATGGCGAGGGGCGTCTCCGAGCGCGGGCGCGCCCTCTGCCGCGCCCCCAACTGTCGCCAGGGTACTGTCTCCAGGAGGGGGCGCGCTGTCGAGCGCCTCTCCGGCCTCCACCGCACTGCTGCGCCAGGGGCGCTGACGGGAGTGAGGAACCGCACGAGTGCCCGCCTGCAGGTCTCCAGGCGGGGGGAGGGGACGACAAGTGCGGCAGACGACCACGCGTTCACCCTCGAGCACTCCCTGAAGACTGTTGCAGCTGACGGCCGCACTTCCCGATACACACTTCTAAGGCTCAATATTGTGAGGAGCGTCTCCAAGCGCGGGCGTGTTGCAGCGCTCCCGACTGTGGCTGGAGTACTGTCTCCAGGAGGGGGTGCGCTGTCGAGCGCCTTTCCAGACTCCACCGCACTGCTGCCCCAGGGACGCTGATAGGAGTGAGAAGCCGTATGGGTGTCCGCCTGTTTTGTCGCATTGCCAGTTCTGCCAGCTGATAGGAGGGGGGAGCGGGGGCGGCTACCCCAGTTGCCGTCACTGCCGCCCCGCCCGCCACTGCCGCCGAGGGGGGCCGCTGGGCAGTCGGGCGGCTTGACAGCAGCCAGGAGGGAGCCCGGGCGTTTACCCCAGATGCCGTCAGTGCCGTCCCGTCCACCACTGCCGCCGGGGGGTGCGCTGGGCAGTCGGGCGGCTGGACAGCTGCCCGGGCCAGCCCGGGAGGCCCATCCATCGCCGGCGGAGCGCGCGAACCTGAATACGGGCGTGCTCGAGCCGACGCGGCCAAGGCTTGAGCCAAGCTACGGACTGCTGGGGATACGCGAAGCGTCAAGAATCACGAAAAAGTTTCAGGCCGAACCACGATTGCTTGGTAAATTGTAAAGACCAAAGTGAGAGCAGAACTCCGGGACGTCGACAGCGCAACGCCTGAGTAAATTGCGAGGATGTACAAGGCGAGAGCGCGCCTCACTAGTAATTTGTGAGGACGTCTCGAGCAAGAGCGCGACTCCTGAATACATTGTGAGGGCACCTCCGATGGAAACCATTGTTATTGTTGTAGCCCGGGGCCGGGAGGAACAATTTGACACTTAAGATTTCCCTAACGCAGAGTAGGGCGCGAGCTCAGAGGGAGGCCTTTCATTTGACAAACACAATGCTGGACCGTGGGGGAGATGAGACTTCAACGAAGATCCAAAACGCGAAACAACATTTCAGCCACGCACCCAGAAGACGATGTACGACCGCTCGGCCCCCTCATTCTGACCTAGGTTCCCGTGGCGGTACAAGGACCAGCGTTGCTCTGTAAAAGGACGACTCACTCGAGGAAAAGGGAGGCTCACGGCAACGTCGGTCAAGCTCGCCACATCGAAGCACTGGGGGCAATTGCAGGGATCTCTACAACCCCTGCCTGGCATCAGGTTTTCTTCGCGCCCTGAGAGTGAGAGCCCTTCACGTCGCCAACCGCGAAAGCGACAGAGGATTTTCTCAGCCATGTGATCAATCCTCGACCCGCCAGCCAAAATGCTCTGGCCACCCGAACCCTTAGCACCTGGGGCCTATTCGGCCCAGCCCCTCAAAGGAGACGTCGGCCCTACGGCGGAAACCCGAAAGGAGAACTCGCGGAGCCAAAACAGAATGCGATCGTGGCTTGTCCAAATGGCGTCCAATAGTCTGGGAAAAACAGACGTTGGACGTGGAAAGACGGATGTGAGGACAGGGACTGAAGAAGGGGTGGGAAACGGAATGACGGAAGAAAGAAAATACAAAGAAGAAGGGGAACGAAGCAAAATGGAAACATGAGGACGCACAGGCGATGATGGAAGGAAGGGCAAGAAAAGACAGGAGGGAGTATCAAAGGCGAGAGACCATGCAGGATATATACTGGGAGGAGGAGGAGGAGAAGAGAAGGACGACGACGACGACGACAAGAAGCAGGAAGAGGAGGAAAAGGACGAGGAAAAAGCCTGGATAAAGGGAAAGTTCAGGACGGAGAAGCGAAGACGAGCAAGGAAGACGAGCAGCGGACAAGGATCGAGGAAGGCCGAGCGAATGGCGAAGAAAAAATGGGGGGGACGAGGGACGGAGGAAGAGGAGGAGGAAGGGGAGGAGGAAGACGACAATGAGGAGGAGGAGGAGGAGGAGGAGGAGGAGGAGGAGGAGGAGGAGGAGGGAGAGGACAGGGAGGAAAAGGAGGAGGAAGTAGGAGGAGGAGGAGGACGAGGGGAGGGGAGGGGGGGGAGGGGGGGGGGAGGACGAGGAGAAGGAGGAGGAGGAGGAGGGGGAGGAAAGGAGGAGGACGAGGAGGAGGGGGAGGAGGACGAGGAGGAGGGGAAGAGGAGGAGGACAGGGAAGAGAGGAGGAGGAGGAGGAGGAGGAGGAGGAGGAGGAGAAGGAGGAGGGGAGAGAGGGGGAAGAGGAGGAGGAGGAGGAGGAGGGAGGAGGAGGAGGGAAAGGAGGAGGAGGAGGAGGCGGAGGGAGGACGAGGACGAGGAGGAGGAGGAAGAGGAGGAGGAAGAGGAGGAGGAGGAAGAGGAGGAGGAAATGGAGGAGGAGGAGAAAACGGAGGAGGAGGAGGAAGAGGAGGAGGAGGAGGAGGAGGAGGGGAAGCGCGGCGGACCGTCGCGCGCCGCGGGGTGCAACGCATGCGGAGACGGCCGCCAAGCCTCGGGATCGCGAGCGGCGTACAGGCGGGCGGCTGGCCCACACGCGGCCGCTGGCGCGAAGTCGAAGAGAGCAGACCTGCGTCGTCGTCATTCGTCGTCGTCGTCGTCCTTCGTTGTTGTCGCCACTGCCACCGCCACTGCGGGAGGTAGTGTAGGCCTCGCCGGCCGCCCTCCGCCCCTCCCGCAACACTACGAGCGCCGCCCCCGGCTTCCGTGTGCACACCCGGGCCCCCGGAGGAGGGTGAGAAGGCAGGGGGGGGAGCAAAGGGGGGGGGGGGGCCAGAAGCCCCCCAATGCGCCAGAAGTCTGCGCACCTCTTCCAACAGTGGCTCGATTGGACGGAAACGGTAGCGTATCACCTGCCCCTCAAACCATACACGCACACGAGCACACCCACGACACCACACACCACACACGCACACACACACACACACACACACACGTGCCCGCGCCCTTGTCCATGCTCCCGAGACAGGTGATCCTGTGGCAGGAGTACGTGGGGAACACCGGCCCCAGCGCGCTATCTCCTTGGCGTGGCCGTGGGGGGGTCCCAGAAAGGGGGGGACCACTGCGGACCCCGACCCACCCTCTCCCGAACATGAGGGGGGGGGGGGGGGCGGGGGGGCCAGGGATGGGACGATAGGGCAGGGGACGAAGAGAAAGTGAGGAGGAGGTGCCAGTCAAACGGGGGGGGGAGGGGGAGGGAGCTGGCGCACCTCTAGTCCAAGATGCCGAAAACCCCATGGAATGATTTCCCCTGAACCCCTGTCCCCCGACCCTTACTCGAGAACCGCCAGAAAAGCAATGCAATGGCCACGGCTAGCTCGCCCCCCGGCTGCGCGGCCGAGGCGGGAGGGGGACGGGAGGAGAGCTCGCGCCTCTGCGGTCCGGGGCGCGGGGCGCCCCCAGCGCCCACGCCCCCCGGCGCCCCTGCCCCCCCGAATCGCTCCCAAAACACATGAAATAAACGCGCAATGGCCATGGCTAGCTCGGCGCCCGGCCGCGCGGCCGGGGGGGGGGGGGGGGGGGGGGGGGCCGGTCAGCCGGCGTTTTCACTCGCTGGAAGACAGGGCAGGGGACGAGGAGAAAGCGAAGACACAGGGAAAGAAAAACAAAAACATAAAAAACAAAAACAAAAAACAAAAAAAAAAAAAAAAAAAAAAACGCTAGCTCGGCGCCCGGCCGCGCGGCCGGGAGGGGGGGGGGGGGCTAGGTTGATAAAACCGTGTGTGTGTGTGTACCACCTCGGTTTTTGGTCTATTACTTCTGATGTGCTTGCTTTCCTGTTGATTATGCTTTTCGTCATCTTTAAAGGGATTGCTCAAAGTAGTGGAATGCAGAACGATTCCTGTTGTAGCACATTTTAAATTGAGTTCTTTTGTGGGTAATTAAAAGGGAATTCTGTTCATGGTGAATTACAAATTGTTTCCTTTTGTGGCGGATTACAAAAGGATTCCTTTTGTGGAGGATTACAAAAGGATCCTTTTGTGGAGGATTACAAAGGGATTCCCTTTGGTGGAGGAATACAAAGGGATTCCTTTTGTGGAGGATTACAAATTGATTTCCTTTGAGTGCTTTCCTGGAAGTGAACCAGGGGACAAAAGAAAAAAAAAAAAAAAAAAAAAAAAAAAACATTGAAAATTGAAAAAATTGCAGGTTTTCAATGATTTCCCATGTTTTGATATTATATATATATATATATATATATATATATATATTATATATATATATAAAAAAAAAAAAAAAAAAAAAAAAAAAAAAAAAAAAAAAAAAAAAAAAAAAAAAAAAAAAAAAAAAAAATGTTCACAATCCATAAGCAAAAATGCTGTGTTTTCATATGGTTTCGGCCTCAAAACCTTGGAAATGCTGTGTTGTTATATGATACTGCTTCAAAACATTGGAAATTCATTGAAAACCTGCAATTCTCCTAATTGTCAAAGATTTTCTGTTTTTTTGTGTTTGTTTTTCTTTTGTCCCCTGGTTCACTTCCAGGAGAGCCCTCAGAGGAAATCAATTTGCAATCCTCCACAAAGGAATCCCATTGTATTCCTCCACCAAGGGGAATCCTTTTGTAATCCTCCACAAAAGAGATCCTTGTGTAATTCACCACAGAAGGATTCCCTTTTGTAATTCGCCACAAAAAGGAATCATCATGTGATCCTCCACAAAAGAAGTCCTTTTGTAATTCTTCACGAAAGGAATCCTTTTGTAATCTGCCACAAAATAAAACAATGTGTAGTTCACCACAAAAGGATTCCCTTTTGCAATTCAACAACAAAAGAAATCAAATTGTAATCCGCTAATGTTTGTTTCGGGCCTCCGGAGGCCAGAGAATCGAGATATTGAGGCTTATTAATATCTCTGGAACGCGCTTCGGCGCTCACCCACTGGAAGTAAGAGGGGTGAGGAGGAAGAGGCGGAGGAGGAGAAGGAGGAAGAAGGGTAAAGACAGGATAACTTTAGTCTGGTGGGCTGCGCTTCCCACTCGATTATGCTCTGTGGAACTCATTATGACAACGCGTTGCTCCCAACGCATCTCGTCATCACCATCAACATCAGCAACATATTGAAACGCATGCTCGTCATCACCATCGTCATCAGCATAATCTTGAAACACATACTCATCATCATGATCCTCATCAGCAGCATATTGAAACACATGCTCGTCGTTACCATCGTCATGGGCAGCATCTTGAGACACATACTCGTCACCATCATCATCATCATCATCATCGTCATCAGCAGCATATTGAAACACATGCTGGTCAGCACCATCGTCATCAGCAGCATCTTGAAACACATGCTCGTCAACACCATCGTCATCAGCAGCATCTTGAAACACATGCTCGTCATCACCATCGTCATCAGCAGCGCATTGAAACACATGCTCGTCATCACCATCATCATCAGCAACATCTTGAAACACATGCTCGTCATCATCATCATCGTCAGCAGCATCTTGAAACACATGCTCGTCATCATCATCATCGTCATCACAAAAGACACCCACCTCTCATATAATCGTACTACAGATGGATCCACTTCCGAGAGAATCCTATTACATATGGATCCACCTTCCATAGAATCCGATTAGGAATGGATCCACCCCTGATAAGATCCCACTACAGATGGAATCACCTGAAATATAATCTTATGACATATGGATCCGCCTCTAATAGAATCCCATTAGAGATGGGTCCACAACTAATGGCATCACATCAGAGATGGATCCACCTCGAATGGAATCCTGGTACGGATGGACCCACCTCTAATAGAATCCTTTTACAAATGACCCCACGTCTGATAGAACCCCATTACATATGCGTCCACCTCGAATATAATTCTATTAGCGATGGATCCACCTCTGATAAAATCAAATTAGACATGGATACACCTCTAATGGACTCAAATTACATATGGATCCACCTCTAATAGAATCCTAATACGATGGTTCCATCCCCAATGGCATGCTATTAGAGATTGGTCCACCTCTAAAAGAATCCTGTGACAAATGGATCCACCTCGAACGGGATCCTATTAAGGATGGACCCATCTCTAGTAGTATCTGATTAGAGATGGATCTAATGGAATCCTAGTGCGGATGGATCCATCTCTAACAGAACCCTATGACAGATGGGCCCACCTCTAATATAATCCTATTACATATGGGTCCACCTCTGAAAAGAATCCTATTAGGGATGGGTCCACCTACCTCTGATGGGGTCCTACATGACATGAATCCACCTCTAATAGAATACTATTGCATATGGATCTACCTCTAATAGGATCGTAATACAAACGGGTCCACCCCCAATTCAATCCTACCAGAATCCTGATACAGATGGGTCCACCTCTGATGGAATCCTATTACAGATGGATCCACATCTACTAGAATCCTGGTACAGATGGATCCATCTCTAATGGAATCCGACTACAGCTGGATCCACAATTGATGGAATCCTATGAGAGATGGGCCCATCTCAACTGAAAGTCTATTACAAATCGATCCGCTCCAAATTGAATCCTAGCAGAGATGGGTCCACCTTTTAATATAATCCTGCTACACATGGATTCACCTCTAGCAAAATCCTATTACAGATGGATCCACTTCTACTTGAATATTATTCGAGATGGGTCCACCTATAATGGGATCCGATTAGACATGGATTCACCTGTAATGGAATCCTAGATGAGATGGATCCACCTCTAGTGGGGCCCTATTAGCGATGGATCCACCTCTAAGATCATCCCATTCCAGATATTTCCACCTCTAATAGAATCCGATGAGAGATGGATCCACCTCTCATAGAATCCTAGTAGCGATTGACCCACCATTTACACCCCCTCCCTACAGAAGGTTCTCTTTTGTGGCGGATTACGAATTGATTCATTTTGTGGCGAAATATACAGTGATTCCTTTTGTGTCGGATTACAAATAGATCCCTTTTGTGGCGAATTACAAATCAATTGTGTTTGTGGCGGGTTTCAAATTGATTCCTTTCGTGGCGGATTTGAAATGGATTTCTTTTGTGGCGGATTGCAAATTGATTACAAGGATGATGATGCTGGTGATGGCGATGCAACGCAGCAAAACGAGGTGGCACGCACACACGGCTCTATCAACCCCACGGGGGGGGGCGGCCAAAAAGCGTTTTCACTCGCTGGAATGATAAGCTGGCACCACGACCTGGAAGCTCTGAGAACCTATTCCCCCCCGGACCGGGCGGCCGCGTCCTACGGTGACCCTACTCTTCCGCGCCGACCAGCCCCTGCCCCCCTCCTCGCCCCGCCCCCCTACACCGCCCCCCTGCCCGACCGAGCGCCCAGCTACCGCCCTACCAGGAGCGCTCACTACTGCGGCGGCGTTTCGCCGCCCTCTCCGTCTCCGTCTCCCCGGAAAAAAAGCAACGCGCTTTTGCCCTGCGCGGGCCTGGTCGCCAAGGCGTCGCCCCGCGCGCCGGCGCCCCGCGCGCGAGGCGCAAGGGCCTGTCCAACTCCTCCACAAGCTCCACGACGCGCTGGGAGGGCTTGGGAAACTTGAGCCGGAGGACAAAGTCTCCGTTCGGGACCCTCGCGCCGTTTTGCACGTTGCTGTTAGCCTGGACGTTTTGGACCGCCCCGAGTTTGGACAGCTCGTCGCGGAGGCTCACCAGGCGCGGCATCACGGTCCGCAACTCCGGGGGCATGTCCAGGCGCGAGCCCGCGAGGTCCGGCAAGTACCCGCACTGCTCCGCGAGCTCCGAGATGAGAGCGCTGGCCAAGTTCTTCTTGAACTCCCCCCAACGGGTCTTGCCGGCGGCGGTGTTCTGGTGACACGACGCTTTCAAGTTGCGGGGCCCCACCACCACCACGCTCCTGTGCTTGCTCAAATCGTCTATCTGCGCGGCATGACGAGCCTGGGCACGCTGCAACATGTCCACGCGCTCGGAGAGCTCTGCCATCGCGCGCTCGGCTGGCGCGGCGAGCGCGGGGGGGGCGGCGCGGAGGGGAGGCGCGATGCGTTGGCGGCGGGGGCGCGTGATCACCCCGAGCAGGAGGCACTATGCCCAAGCCAGAATGCCACCCACGGTTCCTACTCACCACCACCCCCCCGACCCCCGACCCCCCTCTCGGCGCTCTCATTCGGAGGACGGTTCCTACTCATCTCCCCCCCCGACCCCCGACCCCCCTCTCGCCGCGGCTGTGTGGGCCAGCTCCGGTGGTAGACGCCCGCCTCTGTGGCGCCCTTTTCCAAATGCCTCCTGGCTCTTCTGCACCCCCCCCCTCCTCCCCCCCCTGCCCCCCCCCCTTCCCCCGAGAGCGACCTCCCCCGCGACAAGACAATCGGCCCCCCCGCCGGCCAGGAAAGGGGCGCAGGCCCCCTCGCCGTCAGGGGCACAAGTCCCCCCACCCCAAGGAGGCAGTTCAAGGCCACCTCCCAGCGCAAAGGGGTGGCCCTGGAGGGCCACGACGACCCGGCCGACGGTCAAGACTCAGACCCCGCGCAGCACCTGGAGGGCCACTCTGCGCAACTACCGACGAGCCCGAGAGCGACCCTCCCCGCAATAAGACAATCGGCCCCCCCGCCGGCCAGGAACGGGGCGCAAGTCCCCTCGTCGTCAGGGGCACAAATCCCCCCACCCCAAAGAGGCAGTTCAAGGCCACCTTCCAGCGCAAAAACAAATCCCCCCACCCCAAAGAGGCAGTTCAAGGCCACCTTCCAGCGCAAAAGGGCGACCCCGGAGGGCCACGACGACCCGGCCGACGGGCAAGACCTCGCGCAGTACCCGAAGGACCACTCTGTGTGACTACCGATGAACCCTTTTCGGCGCCGGCTCCGCCGCCCGCCCTGCGGGTCGACGTCGCACCGGCCGGCCGCCAGCTGCCGGCGGCGGCGGCGGAGGCGGCGCCGCGGCCACCCCCCCAGCGGCCGCCGGCCTGCGGCGAACCACCAGCGCTACCGGGCCTGCCGGCGCTGCCGCCGCAGCGCCACCTCAGCCCCCCTGCGGGGCAGCGCCCTGGCAATGTTTTTCGCGGTGAACCAGGCGTCGCGGGAGTTTAACCCTGCCGTTTCGTTCGGCATTCGCGCACCCCGCCCGGGCGCATGCGACCTCGGCAAGCAGCGCGGCCTGCCAGGCCCGCTCTTCGAACAACCTAAACATGCACTCTCGATTTGTCCAGGAGTCCGCGCGCGAGCACGTGCCGCCGAAGCCTCGTGCATTCCAGCAGCCGATTCGGACGCGCGGCGCTTTCGTCCGCTTCGGTGCTTCGGTCTTGCGCTGGGCGCGAGCGAGCACGTCTCTCCCCCGCCGCCCCGGGGGCCGCCCCCCCCATTGCGGCGGTGCACTTTCCGTCCGGAGTGCTCACCCAGACGCAACACCGCGCGCCTGGTTTTCTGCGCCCCCCCCCCCGCCCCCCGAGCCACCCCTTCCACCTCCATGGACCAGAGCGCAGCACCTCGCTGGGAGCCGGGAGCCGAGCCCCAGCGCCGCGCCCGCGAGGGGCTCCGTAGGATTCAGCAGGAGGCCCAGACCCGCGCCCGCACGACAAGCCACCCGGCCTCCGTCGATCAAGCGGAAGCCAGTCTCACGCCTCCCGCCGCGAGGGGGGGGACTCCAAACGAATCCGAACCGCCCCAACACGCGCACGGCAGCGAGCCGCGCCCGCCCGCCCCGCGCGAACTTGAGCCGACTCGCTGCAGCGTGGAGGACAAGAAAGGTCAAAGCCGAGCCCGCGAGCAGGGGGGCGCGGCCCCACGCCACCCCAGACCGCAGGGGCCCGCGGGGCGACGCGGAAGGCCACCGGGCCGAGGGGAACCCGGTCCGCCCCGAGGCGCCAGCCCATTGTCTTGCCGCGCAGCACACCAAGCACCCTCGGGCGCCCTCGGAACGTCGCCCCCGGCCCAACCGGGAGGTCTGGGCACTCGCGGGCCCGGAGAGGCGCCGCGCCGCGCAGCGCAGCGACCGAGACGCGAAAGCCCCCGACGGCAAGCAAAGGAGCGCGCAGCCCCCGCCCAACAGCGCCCCCGTCTGACTCGGCGGCCCATGGACGCGCCGGCGCGGCGGGCGGCCACACCCGGCGCCCCGGCCCCGGGAGCGGGGGGGGGCCAGCGAGGACTCCGCGCGCAGCCCCCCGCGGCCCCGAGCCAGGCATCCACGCCGCATCGCCGCGTCACCAGCACACAGCATCACACGAACCACACTGCTCTGCTGCCCCGGCCGCCCCCCTTCCCAGCCCAGAGCTCTCGCTCCCATAATCGCGCTGCCCCGTGGGCTGCGGGGCGCACCGACATCTTCGCAGCGGCCCCGTTCTGTTCGCAGGGGCAGTGGGACGCACCGACGTCGTCGCAGCGGCCCCGCTCTCTTCGCGGCGGCAGCGTGGATCCACGCTCGGGCGGGCGCCCGACTCGGCGGCGCTCCTTCCGCGCGCATCTCGGCCCCTCGACCCCCCCCCCCCCCCCCCCCCCCCCCCCGCGCCCACGCACGCACACGCATCATCGCACGCCTCCCCTCTACCCACATCGACTGTTCTATCACATCTGCGCGCGTCGCACTCTGGCCCCGCGGGGGCCTCAAAACCGCCCTGAAGGGGCACCAGAACCTCACGCTACGACATATCACCCCCAGGGAGAAGGGAGGAGGGGAGAAGGAGGGGGAGGAGGGGGGGGAGAAAGAGGGGAGGGAGGGCGGGGATGATATGTCGGGCACCCTCGACGCCCATATCCCGCAGCCCCGCCGTGCCTTCGTCGCTGGTCGCATCGAACCATCGCCAAGTGTTTTTCGACCCCGCCGTTGTCGACATTCGTCGCAGTTGTTCGTCGTCGCCCTCGTCATCCGCGACAATCGCCATCCCGATCGCCTCGTGACTCGTCGTTGCAATCCGCCCTCGCTGCCACCTTCGTCGAAGCCGCAGAAGGAAACACAAACAAAGAGCAGAAAAATCCAACACACGCGCGCAAAGAGACGACGGGGGGCGGGGAAAAAGGAAAGGGACAGCGAAAGACCGCAGTGCACGAAGGCAAGTTGGGGCCGAAGGCGAGCGGGAAAGGAAACAAGTGAGGGCGAGGGGGAGGGGGGGGGATGGAAGAAGAAGGGGGGGGGCCCTCGGAACCAAATACATCCCGAGCCGTCAGCGCGTCTAGCATTTTGATGGCCCCCCCTGACTACGGCCTGAAGCAGGTTGGCCGGCGCGGACGGGGGCGCGCACATCAGGCATTGATCGTCTTTCCTCTCATCCCGCGTCCATCCTTTCATCCTGCCAGAGATGAGAAACGAAGCGCCACCGATCCCTCGCCGCCCAACCTCCACAACATTATGTCACCCGGGCTTCGAGAATTGCGCGGTTATGAATACAGCATATCAAACTAACAGACACACACATACACACACTATAACACACGCACACACACACACAAATGCGATGAGGCCTGCACCGACAGAACGCCAGACCTCGGCGCGGCCCCTGAACGAGATGGGGCAGCAACGGGGGCAATCCGACTGCGCCACATGCTGGCAGATCACTGCCACACAGGGGCCGCCGCTTGAGACCAAGCGAGATCGCCGCACGGCAGACCTGAACCGCCAAAGACGCACCTCGGCGCGCCACGGCGAAACCCGAAAGCATAACAGCATTGAATCCGGTGGATTCGCAATCCGGCATGCCCACGCCATGGAAAAAAAGCCCGCTGCCTGAAGATGTTCTGCGATGCTATCTTTCTCGCCACATCGATATAGAGGAATAACGGCACCGTCAGAGGCCGCGCCGACGTCGCGCGCGAAACGCAGCGTTCCCACGAGCTGAACTGCTCCGCCAGACCCGCGCTGCCCCGGCACCGGGCCGCCGCCCAGGGGGGGGGCCCCATCGCGGCCCCACCGGAAGGCCAGCTGCACTTCGACGCCCCTCGCCAATGGCTAGTGCATCGGCCCATGTCTAAGAGCGCGGCGGGAGACGCCGCCGGGATACGCCCAGAGCCGGAGCCCCAGCCGCGGCACGGGCCAAGGGCGCACACAAACTCGCGCACGGAGCTCTCGCACGCCCCAGGCCGCCAGAAAAGGAGCGATGAGCGCGCCGCGCGCGCGGCAAGAAAGGCCCCGCGACAGCGACGCGCACTCAGAGCACCCGAAGTCCTCCGAAAGCCGTCAACACGAACCAAGCTATAGACGACGAGCATAGTTTGTCCGACGCGTCTGGCGGCCGGGCCCCCCGGCATCGTCGACGGCTGCTGCTTCTGGCAAGAGCGAGGCAAGGCGCGGCACTCCGACGTGGAGCCCACCGCGAAGGTCGCCCAGGAGGCCTGGAGTCGCAGGCCCACGAAGCGCCGTCGAGTGGAGGGACTGGCAGGGCGCTCACACCTGCCACTGGATGGCACTAAAATCATCCCCGAGGGCCCCCGAGACCAACCCGCCGCTTCCAATGGAGCTCGATCGAGACCCGGGGCGCAGGGCCAGGCAGACGTTCCAGACGCGCTCGCGGAGGAACGCGCGCACTTGAGGGCCCCGCACCCAGGCGCGACGCGGGAAAACGCGGCGCGAAAGAAACCAGGGACGAGGCAAGAGACGCGGCGCCCGGGCGCCCGACCTCTCGGCACATCTCCGCGGACTCCGCGGCGGGATGGCTCATCACCTCAATGGGGGGCCCCAGGATGACGAGGCGCGAAAGCACGCGATCCCCCCCGGCGGGCGGGCCGGGAAATCGCGGTTCTTCCACGTCGCGTCGTCGATCGTCGGCTCGCCCCCCTTCCACCCAGTTCTCGCGGCGGCCACTACGTCTCTCCGCGCAAACTCGAGCGCGACGACCACCGCGCCGCCGGCGCGCAGGGAGGCCGCCGCGCCCCGCGACCTTCATGGGACGCACAGAGACATGCAAATACCACACGTCCGCCTCGGAGGCGCGCGCCCGACCCGAACATATAACACGCCCAGTTTGCAGCGCGCCGCCCCCCGAGCGGCGCGGCCAGAAAGCGCCTGCAACGAAGCATACACCACAAAATTCCTTCGCGCGCGACGCCCCCGGGGGGGGCGACGCGCGCGGCCGACCGCGAAGCAGTCGTTCAGGGCTAGCGCCAGAGCGGCTGGCCGGGGGCCCCCCCCGGCGTCGGGGCGCTTCGCGCACGCCTGCACCTCCGGCCCGCCGCCCCGGGACTCAGCCGCGGTCTTCGCCGCCGCGGCGAGCTCGGACACGCCCGGTTCTAGCGGGCGCTCGGCACAAGGCTAACGCTGCGAAGAGAGGCCGAGGCAGTCGATTCAAGACGCGCGGACCATGCCAGGCCCCATGGACGCGCGGCGCGGACCAGCACGCACGCGCAGACGAACACGCACGCGTAGATTACACTACATTCAGCGAAGACCCCACGGCAACATAGATGTAGAGCGCATGATGGAGACAAATATGCAAGCGTGGATAATCGTGCACGCGTAGAGACTGCGTTGAACTGCGGTTAACATGAGCATGCATGCGCATGACCTCGCGATGGCAGACGGCGCATGGAGGACGGCTTTGGCGCGCGGCGCACCCTGCACACGCCGCTGGAAACGCGCGGTCTGCGCAAGCTAGCGGCGCGGAGGTGGGGAAGAGAGCGCGCGGTGGAAGTCTGCGCGCGCTGCTGGACACGCGCGGCAGGCTCAAGCTGGCGACGTGGAGGCGGAGGGGCGAGCGCGCGGTGAAGTCTGCGCGCGCCACTGGAAACGCGCGGCCCGCGCAACCTGGCGGGCTGAAAAAGATGGAACGGGCGCGCGGCCCGAGTCGGCACGCGCTGCTGGAACCGCGGAGCCCGCGCAAGTTGGCGCCGTGGATGCGGGTGGAATGAACCGGATTGGAGACGGGCAGGCGGGCGGCGAGGTCGCGCTGAAGTTGCGGGTCCGCCAGGCCCCTGCCAAGATCACGCCAGATCGCCGCGCCGCCGGGCAAGCTCGCAGCGGCTCGGAAAGCGGAGCGGAAGGCGGCGCGTTCGCCACTGGCGCGGGTCTTCCAGGAGCAAGCGGCGCCACGAGGGCAAGCCGCCGGCCCTTCGCGAGCCCCCCAGCGATGCACTCGAACGCAGAACAACCACGTCGCAGGGAATCCCTGGACAGCATAGCGATGGGCTGCCCTACGCGTCGACCCCCCGCTCGCACGGGTCGCGTCATCGGCAAACATAACGGCGGGCCAGAAGGTGCCCAGGTCGTGGCCCAGCGCTCTGCCAGCGCGGCTGCCTGGAGGCTGTCGGCGGTGAGATCTGCGACCTTCCACGGCGTGGGCCCGCAGATGTTCGCGGCCGCAGTCCGCCAAATACACGGATCCGTCGTTCAGCAGAACGGATGGGGAACGCGCGGCGCGCATGAAAGCAGCACGGGCCGGCGCAGCAGCCTCCTCGGAAACCACGCGCGAGGGCAGACGGTTCCCCACTGCTGGCCCCGGCGCGAAAAACGCACTTTGCGAGGTCGCGCACGCCACCGGGAATCGCCATGCAATGCGGCGGGGAGCCAACTCGTCGGAATACTCGAAAAATCCGCGGGCGAGCCTTCGTGATGCTGATGAGCAGATGTGCGAGTTGCTCTGGAGCGCAGCAGCCGCGTCGGCCGAAAATGTTTGCGCCTCGGCGGCGGCCGCGAGCAAGAGACGGACCAGGAGGAGGGCGTCTTGCGTGCTTCGGTGACAACAAAAACCCCATTGGCATTCAGGCAACAGGCCGCTTTGTTCAGACCAGTTACGAAGTGGACCCGCAATGATATTGCCCAAGACTCGCGAGATGATGCTGATGAGTGTGATGCATCTGTAAGTATCCTGATCGTTGCGGTCCCCATCTGCGTTCGTAGAGCATCGCGCCGAGGCAACGTTGCGCGGACTGCTCCCATTCCGTTGGAAGCACGCACAAGAGATGAGCGATGAGAAGGCGGAATGGGCGATTCGCCCGGGGTCCAGCAGCAGCGACAATGAGAATGGTGCGTTCGTCTTCCCTGGGCGCCGATTATTTGGCAACCGCGGTGGCGTCGAGGATCCTCCCGATCCTCCTCCTCCTCCTCCTCCTCCTCC